AGCTCTCAAGAAAAAAAATTCTCGTATATTTATTCCCTCATGAAAATTTACAGCAAAAGCAAAGCGCTTTTTCAAGCAACAGAAATTATAATAAATATTTCTTATAATTTCTTTCAGAGCTGGATTCTTAGCTTTAAGATACAGATTGTATTTGAGGTTATTAGCTTTGGGGGGGGGTTTGAACCCCAAAACCCACCCCATGTGTGCGCTAATGACCATATCGATACTTTCTGTTCGATATCGTGTCCCTAGCCGACATTGAAATACAGACAGATAAAAGGAAAGTACCAGAGCGGAATTTCATTATGTGAATTTTTATTCGTGGTAAATATGTATAAAATATTTTGGAAAATGTATCTAATGGTGGTAATGGTAGTATTCCTAATCATTTTCCTGAATTTAGGAAAAATTATCAAAATGGTAAAGAACAACATTTGCGTATCATGAAGACCTAGTTAGCAAATATGACTGCCGATGCATTTCTTGAGTCGAATTGAGTTCTAGAGGATGTTTGGTGCAATGTTATCGAAGCAGAACCATTACGGAATTTTATAAATTATATGTCACAGCGCGTAAAAGATTTATAGTAAGCGGAGAAGACTCTGCATGATATTATCATAAAACATTTTTTTCTGAATTTTTAGTGTTTAAAATAATAGGCGTGTTTTTTTTACACGCACACGTATCTGAGTATAAAAATTGTATGGAGCTCTAAGCGAGAAACTTTATGTGCGTTTATGAATAGTTGTCGATAAAATCAAAATTACTTGTTTTGAAATGGAAATTGCCGATGATTGTTGTTTTTTTTTTCACGTTAAGCGTAGATGTATATGCATGTAAAAAACACAGCTAATAGCTTCTTAATTTATTACAACCAAAGTTATGTAAATATTAATAATTTGCCTTTAAAACTAACCAAAGTACAAAAACGCCCAAAAATTCGAAAATTCATGCTTTTTTAACAGGCTAAATCTGCAATAAATCTCATTACTGTAATAATTAAGCTAATTAATAACACTATGCGACAGTCAAAATCGGGATGGGATGAAACCAACGGGAAATGTTATATCGGTCAAAAACAAGTTATACGTTGCCTAAAATATTAAATTTTTTTAAAACTGTTGATTATATAGAAAAACGTTATATCAACAGATTAAAGGAATTGTAATTTTTAATTTTTTTAAATTTGTTTGAGCAAAATCGGACTAGTGGTTCTCGAGTTATGTCAAAAAAAGACCACCAAAGGTGACAATTGCCCCTATATGATAGTTATATATATATCTCGATTCCTAGACGTGACCCAGCGAAACGCCGGGACACGTATAACTTCTTTTTTACCGATATAACTTTCCCCGGTAGTTTGAACCCTTCCCGATCACTGACCCCTACCATTTGTCTCACTGTGTAATTACTATATTACTTCAGTGTATTTTAAAAATATTATTTCTAAAAATATATTGTTTTTAAAACGCTTTAAAAAATTTAATTTTCTGGCATTTTCCATTTTGTTTTCGGCACTATTTTTGAAGACCATTTGGCACATTTTGAAATTGTAGGAAAATTTAAAAAGGCTTCTTGCCTACATATTGGTGAGAGACGCATCCCATGGGTGTGCGGCGAGTTTTCCAACTGTGAATCGCAAGTTCTAAGAGAACTTGGTGGAGTCGCTCAAGCATCTAAAATATTTTATTTTGATTGGTAGTAAATTCTTATTATGTTTACTTGTCAGGAACTTTTCCAAAAGCAGCTTACTTCCTTCACTGTTAGCCATTAAATAAATCTTAATTTTAACAAAAGCTGTTTGAATTTTAAAATTAAATAAAGTTAGCTTAGCAATATGCAATAAATGTTTCGTTTATTTACTCTTATTAATGCTTTCAATTATTTCCAGTTCATTGCTCAACTTGCACGACAGAACTAAAGTGATGGTTGGTTTTGCAAATAAAATGTTATCTGTGACTTGATAGGCAGTATTGCATCATACCGTAACCGTAGGAAAATTAAAAACTGGTTCTTGGCTACATATTAATTAGAGACGCATCCCATGGGTGTACGGCGAGTTTTTCAACTGTGAATCGCAAGTTCTAGGAGAACTTGGTGGACTCGCTCAAGTATCTAAAATATTTTATTTTGATTGGTACTAAATTCTTTTAATTTATCTTTACCTGTCAAGAACTTTTCCAAAATCAGCTTACTTCCTTCACTGTTAGCCATTAAATAAATCTTAATTTTAACAAAAGCTGTTTGCATTTTAAAATTAAATAAAATTAGCTTAGCAATATGCAATAAATGTTCCGTTTACTTACTCTTATTAATGCTTTCAATTATTTGCTGTTCATTGCTCAACTTGCGCGACAGAACTAAAGTGATGGTTGCCCTGTAGTGAAAAGCTGAACCAGTATGCACAAATTCCAGTTCATGAACTATTATTTAAGGATAAAAGTCATACCAGTTCGTTACGAACCATAATTATACCAGTTCCTCGTAGAAAAAAGTAAAATAGCTGGTAGAAATTCTAGTTCGAAAACTGGTATTAAATGGGGAAGTCATACCAGTTCCTCATGCACTATAATTATACCAGTTCTCCGCAGTGAAATGCCAAACCATCCAGTATAAATACTAGTTCATTAACTAATATGTGTTAAAGCGACGCCCTACCATTTCGGCGATTTCGAACAACTTATACGATCAGCGACATCTGTCTTTGAATAAGCACAACCAAAACTAAAATGCGGTTAATCGCTTTCATCGCAAATTTCGGCTGTGGCGTCGGGTGAAGACTACCGATTCTGGTTCTGAGATCTCAGGTTCGAGAACGCTTGGAGGTTGTTAAAGTAAAGTATGTAAATTAATTTAAATAATTATTTCAATTTAAATATAAAATAAAAATTGTTCATAAATTTAATTTAATTTGGTAAAAACCTAAATATTCAAATAAGATAAAAAATTAAAAGAAATAATTTTTTGTTATTTTTAAAACAATAAATTTAAAAATTACACAAGAGATACAAATGACAAAAAAAAAATAAAAAAAGATTCCCTCACTGAGATTCGAACTCGGATATCTTGATTTGGCATGCCAAAGCTTTACTCTGTCGACCATTGCCACTGTTGCAGCGCCGCGAGAAAAATGGCGTACTTATGCTTTTCACGGGGGATGAATAGGCAGTCTATCCCGTCAACTGGTATGATGCTACTAGTATTTCAACTGGTAGCGTGCTGATGCAGGAGCGGACAATTGGCATCTCTTATAACACCGCCATGTTAAAAATACCAGTCGCTAACATTGAAAGATGATGCAACGTGAACTAGTTGGGCTGAAACGCAAACTGGTAGCATTCTGGTTCACAACTGGTAGCTTTCCCTGCAGGGTGGTTTTGCAAATAAAATTTTATCTCTGACTTGATAGGCGGTATTGCTTCTAACCGTTATCTCATTTTTGCCACTATGGCGATATAGCGGTTTTCCAATTGGTCGATGGGCGGTTTTGCAAAAACATCGACGGTATACTTATGTATGTATAAAAATGTTTTCGTTTGAAAGATAAACTTGCGCCAGTTTTTATGATTTGATTTGGCCTCATTCGTCTTGCTAGAAAATGTTGTTTCCTTAATCGCAAAGGTGTAAATAATATTTTAAATTTCTCGTCTTTTTACAGGCTTCAAATTAATCTACTTTTAAATACAGGCGCCATACACTATGGATCATCCAAACGTCCCCTTCGGATTCGCTCTACCTGGTCATTCACACATGCAAATACCACCCACACCAAACCTTATGTCCGGCCATCCCGGACCAACATCTAGTCCACCACAAAGTGTTCCCGGTCGGCGAACACCACTTGGCGCTGTGGGACTTGGCGGCTTCTATGCACAAGGACTGGGTATGCCACAGCAAGGTTCCATGCCTACCGATGAAAATAAGCCCAGTCCAAGTGCACTTGCTGCGAGCGGTGGGGTAATGGGTCACGGTCATAAATCGCCATCACAATCACTATCTGGCGGAACAACTACTCTAGCAGCTAGCAGTGGGACAAGCGGTGGGGCTGGCGGTGGTAAACAGAAAAATCGTCAAGCGAAAACAGTACGGCTGAATATAAATGCAAGGTTTGTGAGTGTGAATATGTATTTGATGCCTTATAAATATTAACGGTGCATTCATTTTGTAGAGAACGCAGACGCATGCACGATTTGAATGATGCTTTAGATGAGCTTCGAAGCGTCATACCCTATGCGCACTCGCCTTCCGTACGGAAACTTTCAAAGATTGCAACGTTGTTGTTGGCTAAAAATTATATATTAATGCAACAAAATGCCTTGGATGAGTTAAGACGGTAAGTGACGTTTCACATTCTCATTCATACGCCCTGCAAAAATCGTTGGGCCAAGTGCTCCATTTGTGCCATATAATATGACCCATATTAGAGTACTTGCAAAATACTCC